CCTCATTAAAACTGCTCCAATTAATAACAATGAATCAAATGACTGCGTGTAATGTTAAATCTCCCAGTGATGAACTAAAAAATCACCTGAGTTCTCTTAAGCTCTGTGGAGAGTTTTAGCATCTTTCAGCTCATTGTTTTGGTTTTACAGCCGTCGACTTTACTTTGTTAGTTCACTCTCACTGCTCTCATCTAGCTCATTTCAAGCAGCAGTAGGCCAAACATATGCTACCTGCTTAGCAACAGCAAACAAAGTGGTTAACATAATGAGGAAATTAGCAGCTAAAGAGTCATATATTTTCCCCAGGAGATAGTGGAGACCAAACCATGACAAATTCATGCTCTTAGTGTCGTGTAAGTTGCCTGTAACAACCTCACAAGCTGATTATATGTCAGTGTTGTTTTTACAGCTTGTTAGAGGCCAGAATAACAAAACAATTGATGCTGCTCTAAATTTCTAAATGTAAGGTAATAGTTGTGCCTGGTATCACTTCCTGTTACGACAAAATTGACACAGGCATTATTGCATGAAAATGAGTACATACTGTAATGTATACTTCATAGCATTACATGAAGAGATAAGACACAGTAACAGTGTTAACTATATACCTCTTTTGTTGCATTTTGAGCAGGATTTGTAGAGTTCTGCCTCTCCAATTGTTGAAGAAACGGAAGAGATTAAATGCAAAAAAGCTGTTAAAGGCCATAGCTTATTAGAGACTTACCAGAAAAGAGCTCAGATTGTATGAATTGATTTTCCTTTGCTCTAACAGGAAAGCTAAGTAGCTGCTGCTCTGACAGCAAAACACAACCTGTCTGGAACAGTTTCATGGTCGTAAACAGCTTCTGTAGCGTTGCGTCACTTTGGCATTGCCGGCTGCTCGTCTGCATTGATCTTGGCTCAAGTTATTTGTCACTTGTTAGAATTTACAGGACTCATGATATTTGTTTTGTTTTCTTCTGTCTTTGTTTGTGTGTGTGTAGGTCATCTGGGTGGCGGTTCAGGGTTTACATAATAATGGGAATTGGGAAATCTTTATCTGAACATTCTGCTCTTGTTTGTTGTGATATTGGCTCGGTAAAGGATGTTTATTAATGTTTTGACCGGAGACAGCATCCTTAACTAAGGCAACAGTTGTAAAGTAAAGTAATACCTTAATATCTAATACCACTGATTTGCATTAACACTGGAAGACATCTTCTCTCAAACACTCAGATGATTTGGATTCTTTTCTGAAAAGGTCTCCAGGTGAAGAGTAAATCTGCTCCATTTGTCGCACAAGTACTAAACAACCGCTCATCTGCTTTCTTTAATGTCTGTGGAACTGATAGGACACACTCTCTCTGAAAAGCTTGCAGCCCAGTCATCCATAGCTGTCATTAAAGCATAAACCTCTACCTGAGGCTTTAATCCTCCTATCAGACAGGACCTGGACTTCCCCAGTAGCACAGCTTGCTAACCTGGCAGTAAGTGCCTCAGGACATCTGCAAATCTTGACTGGCCCCAGTGCACTGCATTAAAGGGTGACCACCATGCACATTTTCCAGCTTAAAAGCTGAAACGTTTTTTTGTTATTAGCTTTGCAAGGCTACAGCACCGTGACAGGTAGCAAAATTTTAATATTTTCATGCTGCTTACCATGTAACTGTTCTTATAAAGCAGGGAAACATGCTAGTTTGATACATAAAATCATCCTGAGGTTGCTTTGATTCTTATTGACGTGTGTGCTTCTTTTGATCTTTGCTTTTTGTATGTAGCTTTTCCTACTCTAATGACTTGTATTACTTAAAATTTAGCAGCATTAAAAAATCAGGGTCATGAAAGTGCACAATATTTTCAAAGTATTTTGAGTTTATGAGAAACGTTTCTTGTGCTGACACTCTAGTGACATGGTATGAATTAAAGATAAAGTGCTACAGCCTGCAAAAGAAATGGTTTATTTCATCAAATAAATAAATCCTCTTATAGACAACAGTGGTTATGTTGTTTTACATACTGTATGTGTCACAAAATCCATATGAATATTAACCACTGCATGCGTAGGATCTGGTGGTGCATTACAGATGCAAAACTGTTTCAAAAGGATCAGTGTGCTACTAAATTTTCCACCATTATACCATGATAAAGCTTTTGTCTATGTGTAAAGGACCAACATTATGCGACACTGCATCATTTGTGAAAAGGTAACAATAAATTCGGGCTCAGTAGGATCACCTGAGTGTGTGCCAGTCACTGTGGTTTTATGTCATGGATCATTCAGTCCTCCCGCTGTAGAAAACGCATTTTTATGCCCAGGTCTACATGTGTTTGTGACAGCTACAATGAGTTCCATGTCAAGTCTTACTCACAGTTTTCACATGCGGTGTATAAAGAAAGCAATAGATAACACTTTTTAAAAATGTACAGATGTACTTTTGTTCCAAGATATTTAAATTATTTACCTGTGACTCTCAGTGAACCACTGCCGTCTGTCACTACAAGAAAATAAATGTAGATCACTGCCATCTTTAATATTAGAGTTCGGGGGAAACAGGCTGTCTTATGAAACTTGTGTTCAATTTTAAACATAGTTGTACAGAAGTTGATACTGAACTGATTGCATTTACGTAACCAGACACCAGAATACCAGAATAAAAGTAGCAGAATACATATGGACTTTATCTAACAGGTTTAAAATGCTTTGAGAGGTCAATATACTGCATTTTAAAAGAGTACTCCACCAATTTAGCATTGCACTCTGTAACATGGTAAAGAGTTTCAATAAACAGAACCAGAGATATGTTTATTATTACACGCATTCTTCCTTCTTATCAAAACCTGGTGCCACACTTACCCACAATGCAAATTGACCAGCGACAGCTCGGTCAGAGATTTAGATTTGCGGCTAATGCTAAACAGATAAGACACCAGAAAATAAAAGAATGTTTACCAGTTTGAATTGCAGCATAAGAAAACACATATACACAACACATACACTCAGAACACAAAAGAAAACATTTTTAATATTCGCGTAAAGGCTATTTTCTGTATTTGCAGGGTTTTTTGTACTTTGTGTTTACTTCCTTTGCTTTGTGAATTGCCTGCACGTGTTTTTAAGTTGCACTGCACTGAAGGCCACACTCAAGGCCACTGTACAGTTGTGAGGAGATTTTAATTGTAATCTTGTTCAAAAGCACAACTAACAGGCCTCAGTCACTGAGGTTGGTGTGAAAAGTGCTTTGCTCAGCTGTATTAGCATGTTTTCAAATTCACATTAGTGTGACGCGACTCAACCTTCACCTCCCGCCCTGTAGACCTGTAGGTGTAAACCAAACAGAACTTTATAAAAAGAGTTTATATGGAGATTAATATATTAAAATTCATCCTGCACAAAAGCTCTTAATTAAATGTTTGTCCTATGAAATACAAATAAGTAGATCAGAGTTCCCATTTTATCACAGAATATTTGTTCAGTGTCTAAAAATGTCTTTGTGCGTAATTGTTGGATTCACAACACTCTTTCATCTAATAACTGCATAGTTATCAGTGTTGAGACTGCAGGGGGCACGCTGCATCATTTCAAACCTCATTTAACACCGAACCGTGCCCCTTTCTAAAGCCCAAATTGCTCGCCATGAAGCAGCAGAGTAGCTCCAGACATTCATTAGCTTAATGAAAACACGGCCACTCTTCTTCTACCGCCCAGCGAGCGCATTCTCGCCGTAGCCGCAACGACCATCTGCTCTCAAGCTCCCTGCCAGCTATAGGATAGTCCTGTCAAAGCAACCCCTGTGAAAAAAGGCATCCACAAAGGTGCCTTAATCATTCAGATCAGAGGACAGGCAAGGACAGTGGGGATGCTTTTTTTTTCTTTTTTTTTAAGATGGTTTCATCTCTGCGTCCCCTGGCGACTCCTCCGTAGCGTTCACTCATGATGTTAATGATGTTGGTGAAATAAGCTGAGTGTGCAGTTGTCTGAGTTGAGTTGCAACAGCCACACAGCTGGCAGTAAAGGTATTAGCCGCTCAGCCACAGTGGGAGAGGCTGCTTTGTGAAAAGGTTAATATCATTTTAGGGTTGGCCAGAGTGTGTTGTGGTGGGCGGCTGACCACCTGTTCAGCTCTGGAGGGGGTCTCTTATCATCTCATCCAACAGCAGACATTTGAAGGTCGAACCATTTAATACAATTTAAAAAATAGTGTGTGAGATAGACTACGGTTTGTTTCGAGTAGTAAATCTCATTTTCTAATTGATCTTCTGCTCATATTTTCTTCAGAAACGACCCATTTGACTACAGTTGTGTTATGAGTTTCACCCCTCGGATTAATCACCACTAATCTCAGCAGTGTTGTGCCTGCAACAACCCAGAGCTACTTTTCTCAATATGAACACTAGCTGGTGCACAGCGAGAGGGAAATGATAGTCAGAGCCCCGAGGCTTGAATCTGATAGTTTGTCATCGGGATAGTATTACTTAATTTCCCACTGGGAAGAAACTCATTATTTCTGACTTTATCTCAGCACTGACCTCTGGAACAGTCTCAGGAACGTTATTGGTTTGAGCCCATTTTCCCTTTTCTTTTTTTCTCGGCACGACATGGATGACCCTAAACGCCAATAAGATACATGAATAGTGAGGGCACAGTTCATGCTAATGGTTGGATGAATACGTTAAGGCTGGACCGCAGATGAGAGTCCCATTCACCTTTAATGTGCTACATACAGAGTGTAATTATATTGATTTATTACAGGCTACATTACAACTTTTTCTCACATGATGAATGGTGAATGGAACGTGAGATTATATTGATAACAGATGACTAATGGCCAGCAAACCTCTTTAATGGTGAACCTTTTCTCCAAACGTATCAAATTTCTTTTACATGCAGCACATAAAGAGAGAGGCAAGCTTAAGAAGCATTGGTCCACATCTAAGTCAGCTTTTATGATTATTTGTCATCTTCTTACATATGTTGGAAATTGATAAGGTGTCTGATTGCTTTTTTTTCTCCTGTGTCACAGTTTAATTTTGTCGGGAAGCTGCTGGGACCACGGGGAAATTCCATGAAGCGATTACAAGAGGAAACGGGAGTGAAGATGTCCATCCTCGGCAAAGGGTCCATGAGGGATAAAGGCAAGGTAAGAAAGATATCGATTTGTGTTGAAATATAGTTGTCGGTCTGTTCCAAGATATTGATCAAATGGAAATATTTACAGAAATAGAGTGCAGAAGAATTTTTCAACCAACAACATCTGAGCTGTAACTGAGATGAATAACACCCACGGTAGAATTAATAGCTCTCAGTTGACAAACATATGTAGGAGAAAATGGCAATGTTTTTCTGTGTGTTGTTTAATAGCATATTCTGTAATAGTCAATTATGAACGCAAAGTAATGAATCTCTTTGCCGGAGTCATTTATCCTGCTGACTCGTGGTCCCCTGCAGCCAAACTTATCCAAGCATGTACACAGACAGTCTGCTGGATCTGGTATTCACACTCATAACAGGCCTCATTGTGCTGCTATAGTGTTACATCGCTATTATTACTGTAGCCTCTGATTCAGACATCTAGACATGACAAAATACTTGCAGTGTTACCGCATCTTTGGTGAAACTGGAGCTGCATTTCAGTACGTCAAAAACGTGTTGATTGCAAAATAAAGCGGAGGCTGTTACAACTACTTTAAAGCGGCTATAATTTATATTCTTATAATAAAAATGTATTAATTGACATTGTGAAAGGGATTATTTGTGGTGATGAACCTACAGAGAATCCAAATCTGCATCTCTCCTCAGCTTTACTGAATGAGTTTCATCTCATTGTTTAGCTGTCCAGCCCACAACTTTACTCTTTAGGTAAACTCTTATCGTATCACAGCGTGGGTTGTCGGCTGCAATGGGCAGCTGTTTTCAGTGAAAAAGCTTAAAACTCACTGTACACACAGTGCCAAACAGCAGACAGATAAAGTTAGGGCCAAGCACCAGCTGGTGAATGTAGTGGAACATTTAGGAGAAAAATAGGATTTCCCTTAGGAGTTGGTAGAGACCAAAAACAGAGCTAAAAGAGAGTGTAAATTATACATCATATGGTGGCCAGGAACACAACTCCAAATTAATGCTAATGTTGCCATTTCAGTTCAGTTTCAGCTGGCCCCAAGTGGTCAAAACATCAGTTATTGCAGGGTCAAACATATCATTGTGGTTCTAGTGGTCGATTGCACATATTAAATGCAGTTTAGTTGAGAAAACAATCTTACCTCAAGGTTCATATTAACATTTTATAGTATCAAGTGTCAGTACTAAACTGGTGGGACTGTGTATGCAGTTTTGTTATTTTTGACACAAAATGCAACACTTTTCAAAAACAAGAAATGTGAAATTGAAAGTTAATTCTTGGCTTTGGAAACAGCAACAATTTCACCACAAGGTCCACTCAGCAGCTGTTCTAGAGCTTTTGATCATGTCACACGATTGTCCTTGCATGGAAATGTTGACACCATTTCCATTTTTCTGTAACTATTTAGAGAACTTCCCATCTATATTGACTTAAAACTTGAGGTTCAAAGTTAATTCTTGGCCTTGGGAACAGTAGTTGTTTAGTTCATTTAAAGGTAATTTTTAACCAAGTAATCTTCTGGATGACTAAGCTTTTGCATAAGTCAGCTTAATAAAGCCCCATTTTTTTAATAACTGTGTGGTTTTGTAATTAGAAATTAATACCCTGTCACATGGTTTCCCATTCAGGCCTAAATGTGAGGCTAAAAGTCTTCACCCTGACAAAAGACTAAAGGCACTGAGACGTTTCTTTGCTATCACATTTTTGAATGTGCTTTTGGCCGGTGCAAGAGTTCATTTAAAACTTTGGCTTCCTGCCACTAAGTCCATTCAGTTTACTCATGTGCTGCATTAACTTGTCTTCAGGGTGTAAAATAAAGTAAAGAGGTGATAAAATGTTAACAACAACAACTATATGCAAAATAGGGGTTTATTTATATGCATGCCGTGCTTAGGTTGTTACACTGCACTATACAGTACAGCACGCAATATGACTTTTTAGTATTTAATAGATCAATTACTGCCAGTATCACTAACATGGCGACACGGTGTGTTCAACTGGAGTCTGAGGGAGATACACAGTGCTGTGTGCAGCACAAGGATAATAATATAACCCTAACGGTTGTCTATACCAAGGGCCGTCTATGTGACGATCCGATTTAGTGTTTTCTGTTAGTAGCAATATTGATTTTGTGTACAGCCTGAGCAAGTCTGAAGGACTCTGTGATGAGACTGACACCTAAAGGTCGTGACTGAAAGGCTGGCTGCCATTCGAGGCAGCTGGTCACAAGGCAGAGTGGTACAGACATAGCCCAAGTCCCAATAGAGTCCCAATACAAGAAAAAGCACATCACACATTTCTGCCATCTCATCCAGTTCCTCGATAGGGTGCATCAGTCCAGCAGTAGGGTAACATGTCAGGTTTGACAATTTAGCATCGGATCAGCCAGTCATAATACACCATATGGTGAGTGTTACACCTTGTGCACAGACATCAACCTGGTTTACATGGTGCTGAGTCATACAGCTGAAGCAGAGAGTCCTCATTTCACCTCTCTGACTCTAGACTAAATCTGATTGATTAAACACACAGACATACTGCAGTCATGGTAACTGACTGTGTACGCTGCAGTCTCTCAAACATTTCAGTGACAAAGTATTGAAACAGCTCAAAGACATAATCGTCTGCCCACTTTCACGTTTTGATCTGATTCATAATGACCTAGGCTCTCTGACAGTGAATGTGAAGCCTGCTGAAATTTTAGGAGTGATTTTTAATTAAAGCTGATTCCTCCCAGGGGGAAGAGAACGGCCCTGTGATGCAAGGACAAAAGTTTGAATCCCCAGATTGTCTGGGTGAATGAAGTGCATAAGTGGTACTGTCGCTTCTCTTAACAGCCACCATCAAGGTGTCCTTGAGCAAAGCCCTCAACACCCAATTGTTGCAGTACAAAATGAATTAATACAGGTGAAATTACAAAAAAATAAACTCCTTGTTTGTGTTAATCTTGGCATCGACTGAATTGACTGAGACATTGTTCAATATGCAGCAGCTGCATTTGTAACTGGTACAAGTAGATAAAACTTCTCCACCCCAGGTCTGACATTTCTGATTATTTGTTCAGTGTAGAATTGATTTTAAGATTTAACTGGTTCCTTTTAAAGCACACTTAGGACTGGCCTCAAGCTATATTACAGATCTTTTAAATCTTCAAAGCCAGTGTGAAGCCTCAGGCAGCTCCCCTCAGGGCCTCAGTTAAGACTTAAAGGTGATTGGGCTTTTCTTGCCATTAGACTTTCGAAACAGTTTGCATTAGGAGCTTGGATCGACATCTTTTGTTTACTTCAGTGTGTTCTTGTACACTTGCTTTAACTCAACTCTTCCATCCAAACAGAACCTTCACCTATTTACATTCATAATGGTTTGCTCTTCATTTTTACTATTTATCCTGTGGAGCTCTGGTGCTTTAAGGATTCATAAGCATGATGTCTGTTTTCATTTCATTGTATATGTAAGCCCTTGCATTGTATGGCTCTTATGTGTTACACAAAATGCTATGTGTTATTCAATAAACTCATGAATAAGTAATCTGCAAGGATATTGTATTTAAAGTCTTTATTTTTGTCTTTTTCAATCGTAAAACTAATGTTGTGTGGTCAGAAGTGTGCGCCACACAGTAATGTAAGGATGAACTAAACACACATTGAGTAGGTACACTGCAACATTAAGACGACATTCGAAAGACAATTTTAAATTGCTCTAATTAATTAATCTTTATAGAAGATTTATATAGATTGTTTTAAAGCTGCGCCTGTTTTTACATTGACAATATATAATGGGAATAATCACCAAACTCTACAGTTCCCTCAGTTCTTTTAAGCATTTTAGCTTTTAACTCACTGTTTTGGTTTTATGGCCCGCAACTCTGCTATTTGTATTCATTCTCATTCATTCAAAATGCAGACAAAAAAAGGTTAGCAGCTAGCTGGTGAACATAGTGGGGGTTTTGGAAACCAAAACAGAGCTGACAGGAGACTGAATACTTGTCAGGTGGACAAAACACATTTTAAAATAAAGTAAATAGCCAGGAACTTATTTATTGTTTTTTTACAGTCTATGGGAACAACAGGCAACAGCAATTTTGTTCTTCGTATTGTGCAAGATGCAACGCTGGCAAACGAGGTGAGAGAGCTTTTCTTGACTCCTTGGCGCTGAGTTTGAAAGAGAGACTGGAGTAGAAAATATAAAATGGTTACCGCCATAACATTGTCACTGGCCTCCACGTGCTGCTTTCTACTGCTGTCGAACGGACACATCAAAAAAACAGAAAACAGAAAACTCTTCTACTGGAAATGAGAAAGGAGTCAATCACCTATTTCTAACACATTTACCAGCATTTATAAGACCTACATATAGGCACTAATTTTGGTGTTAAAGGGTATAAATGTCTGTTGTTTGTTTATAAAACTTGTCATGCCTCACCTGTCCACCAGGTGTCCTCAGTGCCTGACACACCTGTCGCTTATCAACTAATTTGTCTGCTACCTCCTCAGCTGCATCTCGTTATGCTCTTTTGAAGGGTGCTATTTCCATTCCCTGATTTTACTTCTAGTGGAACTTCACATACATTGGTACCAGTGGCCACCGAATCATTTACTGACCATCAAGATGATTTGAACTACATGCCATGTCTGAGTCACAAGATGTCTATCCATTTAAACATTTCCTGGAGCTGTTGTGGAGCGGAGCCTGCAGGGCATACTTCACAACAAATCAAAAAATGCCTTTTCTATTGGAAAAACATTCACTAACAGCCTCCCTGGTGCCAGAATCTATGACTGAGCTCTAATATCTAGTCTGTTATTCTTGTTGTTTTTGCTGTAGTTGTCAGATGAGCAGTGATTATTCTGTAGAAGTTAAGTTATTCCTTTCGCAAGGGAGGAAAAGGCCACATATCATTCAGGGTTGTTTTTGTATGTGTCTTCCTGGTGATGTAGTGATTGCTCAAGTGGCTACTTGTCTTGAAACTAAATCATAAATGTACTGTAGGTTATAACCTGCCTGTCTCAGAAATGCTTATGATAAAAAGAGGAAAAAAGGTGGCGTTAAGTGTCAGTTACATCTACACCTTCATTCTCAAAAAGGAGCAGAAGCACTTCATACGGTTAAATGTAGTTTTTAACCAGGCTAACAGCATGGTTCTAGGGATGGCTATGTCTGTTGGTTCAGACTGAAGTATCTGAACAACTATTGGATAGATTGCCATGAGATTCTGTGCAGACATTCATGGCGCTCAGAGGGTGACTCTCTCTGACTCTGTTGGTCCCCTGACTTTCTATCTCTATCTTACCATCATAAGTTAAAAATTTTAGTTTGTCCACAACTTTGGTTTATGACCCAATACTTGCAAAGCTAATAACATTCTGCACTTGGTGTTTAGTGCCAATTAACAAATGTTAGCATGCTAACATGCTAAACTACAATAGTAAACATTATACCTGCTTAACATCAGCATGTTAGCATTGTCATTGTAAGTATGTTAGCATGCTTCTGTTAGCATTTAGGGTCAAACCATCGCTGTGCCTTAGCAATAGTGAATAGTAGGGCGCAGTTAAAGCCATGGGCACTGTTGGCACTGGTTAACCTGCGTAAGAAATGAACTGTATGATTAATAGCAGATGGGTTGTGGGTGTGTGAAATAGGGTAAAGCGTCTCTCCATTACAGAGACGCTGTGCTCATTGATTATTTCAATCTTCAGACACGCCAACAGAATCGGTCAGGATCTAATGTTAATTAATGGTTTGTGTTCTCCTACACACCCAAAAGGTCATACACACAGTCCAAGTTCATACAATGAAATTGTTTCCTCTCAAGAGTTCTGTCCAGTCAAGTTAACTACAGTTTTTGCTGCTTAAATGTTGCTGCTTAATGTATTTAAAATTACATTACTGCGCTTATGGAATTACAGAAGGCATTAAAGTAAATGGATAAAGTAAACATTCATGCATTATTGTAACACACAATAAAATAATCCCCTGGAAATCTCAAGCTAGCTGCTCAACCTAATTTAAAAGGCTACTTGTTTTGTCCAGACTCATTGATATCATTGTGCAATAGATGAATTACTACACATTAATCCAAATACATTTGTGATGCAGTATTTGTTACAATTACAATAATATAATATTATTGGAAAAAAACCTGTATTCTAATCATTTGAATTTTGTTTTTTTGGTTTTCTTCTCCTATTTTGCCTTTACAGGAAGAAGAATTAAGGAAAAGCGGGGAGGCAAAATATGCCCATCTGAGTAATGATCTTCACGTTTTAATTGAAGTCTTTGCTCCACCTGGAGAGGCCTATTCCCGCATGAGTCATGCCTTGGAGGAGATTAAAAAATTCCTAGTTCCAGTAAGTTTAATACTTCACCTTATTTTTCCTCCTATTTTTTTATTCCTGTGCTGTATATGAACATCAGTCATTAATGCTGACTTTATAATTTCTCTGCCTGGCTTATTAACACAAAGCAAACCGTTTCTGAGTTTACAATATCCAGGGTTTGTTTACATAAGAGTAAGATATAAGGGTTGAGTTTTTCTCTGCATTACCCTAGACTATAAGCTCTTACTCACAAATGAAAAATAATGTATTCAGCAATTAAAGTGCACTATGGAACAACTTGCAAGACTCCTTATAGCCCGAAGAACTTAGGAATAATTAATGTGCATGTTGTGTACACTTGCTGGGTCTAAGCTGTAAATATTAATCAAGCTTTGCAAATGTGACAAGCCTAATAGAGGAGTTGTGCTGCATGAGTCTACTTTATGGAGTTCATGTTTTTTTCTATATTGAGCCGGTGTTCTTACAAGCATGTGTGCTCACTGGGCCGGGAGGATGATGTGTCTGCATCTGCACAGAGTTCATACCCTTCCAAATGCAAATTACTTAACACTGTCTGTCAAACAAACAACTGAATAAATACAGGGTTATTAATCTGTTCCTGATGTGTCTACGTGTTAGCTTTCAGAAAAATATACATGATGTGTCTCCCATATGAGATTTTCTTTGTCTACTATTTTATAGGAAGACTAGTAACAGTGAAATGTATGTTTCCCTGTTTGCAGGCTTTAAGCTGTTGTAACATTAATAAAGTGAAAACTGAAGATGGAGAAAAACATCAGTCGCTCAATTTTAGCCCATTCTTGTTTCCACCCCTCAACGCCTTCCTGCGTCGCCTAAAATCATCTCATGAACCAATGACCCATTATTATTACAATTTGCATGAAAGTCAGGCCCTAAACTTGCCCCTGCTGTAAATGTTGCATGCGTCCAGAGCATATCGGAACTGTCAACATGTTCATAAAGTATGTAAAAACATGTTTTGAAATAACACACCGGGCAAACATTTTCTCAGAAATGCTAATTTGCTTCAGCATCCCATTGGTACTCTGATTCGCTTTGCACTGTCCGATCGATCCATGCCAGCCTAGTAATAATAAGGTCAGCTGGCTTCCCTAGCTCCTCTCTAATCAGCAGGGGCTTTTGTGTTTTGTTTTGTATAAACTGCAGTAAATATGATGCTTTACTTCCACAGACCGTCCTAGGACATAAATATATTGCCGGCCAAGTCTCAGCTCTTGCTTTTATTGCATTACCTTGAGAAAAGATGAGGTACTGTGTGTTTTTTCTTATGAAAGTGCAGACACGTTTTCTAATTAGTGTACACACAGGATTGGCTGTAATATTTCTATTTAAATAGATGTACACACTCAATAAGCACAGACTGTTTAGACAGTTTGAATCTTTTGTGAAAATGTGCCAGCGGAACTAATGATGCTGGTTTACTAGGAAGGAACCAATTCAGTAAGATTTTATGTAAGAAGTAGCAAAAGGGCTGAAAAACATCACTGTGGATGAGAATGCGAGAATGATGAGTTTGTCATATTTGGGGACGTCCAAAACCAGTTAGACAATAAACCCCCCAATGCTAATTTATTACTATAAATGCTAATCTAAACTGAAACAATGGACCCTCAACATATGAGGGGGGAAAAACCACAAAATTAAAGTTATATCTTGTTGCTTAATCAGACGTTACATTTCCTTCCTTGCATTGTATTTTCATGGTGAGTAAAACCACAGAATATTATAAGTTAGAAGTTTAACTTATACTATACATGTCGATAAAAACCTAAAAAAATAAAGACCATAAAAATCTATTCTATGGCACAAGCTCAAGGCTTCAGGGATCTTATGGATTTGCAAATAAACTGCACATAATGTAACAGGCATCTGTCAGTATCCATAGTGACAGATGTTCCCTGCCTCTGGTGGAGAGTGGCAAGTGCGTCCTGCTGTTTACCTTTTTTTTTATTATAGCTGCAAGACTGTGTTGTCATTGTGCGACCACAAGTAAGTTGCTAGTGGGGATCGGTTTGTTTGAAAATAATCAGCATGGAGTTGTTATTGTTAATTGTTACTCCGCTTTATTTCCAACAGGCAGAATAATGTAATACGTATTTGATTGGAATTAAAGGGAAATTCCACAGATTTTACTCAAAGTCTGGGGAGTTCTACTGCATATGTCAAACAAGATGTGGAAAAGCCTTTTGTGACTCCAAGCGGAGCTGCGCAAAGTCTGATAAATTGCCTCAAGTGATGTCACATGAGTCCTGGTATTTAGCTTACCAGATCTTTGTAGTCTGCTTGAGGATAGCAGCTCGATGCTACATTTGTCGCTACTAGTTTAACTCACCCGAATCTCCAGTCAGGTGTCAAGTTACATTGTGGGTAATGTAGACATCAGGTTTGACAACGAGGAAGAATGAGTTTGCCCTTTTGTCTTAAACTGCCCGTTGTGAGTTCAGCAGTGTTATTGTTGAGCCCTTCTAAATTGACTTTAGAATATACTCAAGGAAAGATGGACTGAATTTACGATCCTGTTGCAAACATGGCTGATTCAAACCAGCTGGTGTACAACACAATTGCTTCTCTCTGCCGGCCCACCAGGAAAACTCCCACTGTTCCAGTGGCTAATCTACCCCTGCTGGTGTGACATTATGCTTCAGAAACCAAGCAAACTCAAAGTGATGCAGTAGGCAGGGACACTGAGACGTGTAGCTGTCTCCCACTATGCCACATGTGTAGTTAAGTGACTTACACTGCTAGCTGCAGCTGAAAATCTTAGTATGTACCACAGCATTTGAGCTGAGGTGAGTGAGTCACTTGTACTCTTCTCTTATCTACAGTATCTTTTGAACAAAAACTCAAATGTGCTTCTTCATCTTCTTTCTCTCATTCATTTTAATGTGGTTTCACCCCAATGATGTCTGGAAATAAATGTCTTACCCCTTTAATTTAACAAAACCAACTTCCCACTGAGCTCCCACTGCGCTCACATCTATAAAACAGGAAAAATGAATATACATTCCCATCTTCTGATATGATTATTAAATGGCTGTTAAATTATTTAAAAACTCACAATCACATGAACTGAATTTCATAATTAGGGTTTGTTATTCATTTAGTCCTGCGCAAAAATAGAGCACACAAAAGAAGTGCAGTTGACTGACTCTGAGTTTTATCAGTCGTTGAAGCAATTGAGAAAAAGAAAGCTTGTCTATGCGGTAGCCCTGAGAGCTGCCGTGAAGCAAAATCTGACTACAGAAATGCTGTTGGTGCTGTCAGCTCAGAGTCGTGCACCCTGGAAAAGAGAGAAAAATGCAAACAGAAACCTAATCAGTGGACTACTGTGTATATACAAGCTGAGAGTGAGAAGCGCTGGAGAAGGACAGGCTATCCTGCTCTCAGCTGGATGAGCTTGTGGCCTTCATCTCAGGCCAAACTGAGGTGGGGAGCATTTTGGCACATAGAGGGTGACACAGATGCTTGAATGTGATAGTAATTTGTTTTTGCATAAAGTCAAATGTGAAGTAAAACAAAAATAAACATGCTATTAAAAGTGACTCGGGCCTGCTTGTGTTTAAATTGAATCTGTTTGATCCATGTGATCCCCAAGAATGAGCCTGAGCACCAACAGTGAAGACTGGCCTGGTGTTGCAGAGGCAAGCACTTATGCATTCACCTGCATTACTATCTTCAGCAAAGATCCAGACTGTGCAGGTGTGAAAAAATCTATTATTTACTGTGCATTAGCAGTCGATTTTGTTCTCAAATAGCACACACTATATAGATATATGCAAATTTCAGGTGTGTGGTGGCACACTATGGAACACTTGTGCTTTGCTGCAATCAGGACCTTGATAGTAGCATTGATTCTTCTCTGTATTCAGTATCAAACCATCCATGTTCATCCAAGCAGCACGATGAAGGGAAACACACAAATAAGGTAAAATGTATAAATGTAAAATGTAAACTTTTGGTATCATAAAAAACAGAATTAAAGTCTAGATCTACACCTAACGGAGTTCTTTTAAGGACTAAAATGAGCAGCTCATGCTGAAAAGCGTACAAACATAGTATAAAACGTAACAAACATCATATCAAGATGCAGATTAACAGCTGCTGCAGCTGTGCGGCTGCTTCTGTGCCTCTTGATCAACTTGCCTGATGTGCTTTGGGAGGATAAGAACAGCTTTCAGGAGGTTGTTATGCAGGACAGCGTGTACTATGTTGATTTTTCAGACCTTCTTAGATTGAAAAATTAGTTTTTTGACACTGGTACGTGCACCTCTCCAAGAAATGAAAATGTTTAGGATGATGCACAAAATAATATATGATTTTACCAGCTTATTGCTAACACATCCACTTTCATGAAGTCTCCACTTGTTTTAAACAGTTTTAATAAATTTGGGCCTGTAACAATATTAGCCAGAACCGTTGTGTGTATTTGGACATTGACACAGATAAAATATATATTGAAAAGTCCACTGTTTAACATTTAGGAAGATCTATTGTTCGAAATGGAATATAATATTCATAGGTATGTTTTTAATAGTGTATAATAGGAATCATTGTGTTTTTGTTACCTTGGCTTAGAATGAGCCGAAAGACCCTTTCTACAGTAGCCCAGAACGGACAAACTAAACACTGGATTTGCATCCACCATAGTTTCTCCTACACACTGTCACAGCTGTTTCTCGAATTCGCCAGGTTTGTGCAAAATAATGGACCGAGTGGTTTCAGTTATTGCAATCATGAGAGAAGAGAAAATAAAAATAATGAAAAAAATGAAAAAAAAAAAAAAAAAAAAAAACTTTTTTCTTTTTTTGAAAAAAATGAAAAAAAAAAAAAAAAAAAAAAAAAAAATTTTTTTTTTTTTTTTCTAAAAAAAAAAAAAAAAAAAAAAAACTTTTTTTTTTTGTTTTTTCTTAAAAAAACTTTTTTTAAAAAAAAAAAAAAAAAGAACTAAAAAAAAACTATTTCTGAAAATAAAAAAAAAAAAGACGAATAAAAAAAAAAAATATATTTAAGACTAAAAAAAAATTTTTTTTTTTTTTTATTTTTAACTTTACCCCTACATGGCACTAAATCCTACACACCAGTCCTGTTTTGGAAACAACCTCATTGTCTGAGGGTCCCATTTCTGTAATATGTGTACATGTTTGTAAAACCATCTCCACGCTGCTAATGTTGACCTGTGGCAACATGATGCATCACAAACTTAAAATCCTGCCCATCCAGCACGGCAGACATCCTGTTCACCAAAAATGAAAGGGTTGTGAGGGTGCGTCAGCTGATCTAACACGAGATACATTTCAACACACAGTTTGTTAGCTTTTGGAAATTGAAATCGGTTCATTCAGATCACCATGTGGCATAAATCTGCTCAGCCTCTGAATATACTGTCACTGAATTCTTAGCCCTATCCTCAAAAGAAACCAATGCATCTCCTGACATTCATCTGACATCTTCACATTTGATAATAGCAATTATTAAATAGTCCCTGTAGGTACCTTGAGTTCACCTAAAATGCAATATGTTTGGGAACACAACATTAGAAAGGCCACAAGATTTATTCAAAAGCTGGAATTGATTTGTTATCTTTGGCTATCTCTTTTAATATTTGTTTTCCTATTGGAGAAAACATATTTACTCAGTAAAATCATATCAATGGAAGCCCCAAGGTCTCAGGGGGGATCTGGCTTGACAGCATCTCTTTTAATTAAACATTAAATCCACTGAGATGAATTATAAAAACGTTCTATAATTTGTATGTGCATTTTTGCCAGAAAAAAATCCAATAATCTAGCAGTTCTTTCGTAAATAGTCCTGTAGCCAACATACTCATATCACTGAGATATAAGATAGATAAAATACATCAGTCAACACAGCCAGTAACAGACATGTAGCAAGTAGGCCCAAACACAATCACCATACTTCATGTGCTGACCCCTTAAAGTGTCTGTGAAGGGCATCGTGTGTGTACAAGGTCATGCATGGTCAGAATTAATCTCAGTGAGCAAACAGTCTGACCCGAGAAGCCTCAGCATTGGCTTTATCTCTGTATTCTCATGTTAACTCCTCTGTCAACAGTCAACTTGTACAGGCTCTGGCATATTTGTTGTAGTTTGGATAAGCTGCCAGCTTTCCAATTAAAGACCGTGCCAGTCTCCTTCAAACCAACAGAGCGCTGTAGGCCTTATTAATTCATTAAGAAGAGAAGCACATGTGTGCAGTGTGTCAAATGTTTTGGAAATCTACCATGAGGATATTTTTTTCTTCTTCTTCAGTGACATGTGGGTGTCAAAATCTGTTCATTATATGGTCCCTGTATGACACATCATGTTACTGTGCTGTGACAATGTGACACCCTCTGTGTGTTATCCTGCCCCCATTTTTCACTTTTTCCACTTGAGAGTAGAGAGTAGCAGTCTGTGAGGAAAATTATATCGAAAGTTTGGTAGATGTGCAACTTGGACTGGTGGTTGTATGCATACAGTATCTGATCATAATGTCCCCAGTTTGGTTCATATTGGGAATCTTTGTAGCATGTCATTCCCACTCTCTCTTCCATTATTACCTGTCACATATCTACGGTCCACCTATTCAAACTATTCAATGCTTATGTGTGACAAAATATGCAGAATGTTTTTCTGCAGCACCTGAATCATTTGGCATCACTGAACCAAGTTTCTGCTCTGTATAGGAGAATATCAAACTGTTTATGGTCATAAAGCGACCTTTGTTGGCACATACCTGTTGATCAGTGGGGAACTATTGACTGGAATGTGTATTTCTATATCTACTGCAAATGTGTGCATGTTACATGTGTAAGTTGTAGCTTATATTGGACTATGATTGGTTTCCACACTAGTTGTGATGTCACAAAACCATCTTGTACATGACTTAAATGCATATTTGATGTAACCACAAAGAAACTTCCCCTCTTCAAAATGACTTTCTAGTGTCAGACTCTGCACATATATATCATTCTGCACAGTGAAGCTCAAACATTTAACTGAAGAAACGTTTGTTTGGAAGGGGGACTTTAACCTTTTTGAGATATTGTGGTAAAAGTTGAAAATTAGTAACTCAAGCTGAAAAGAAATGGCAACATTATCAAGCTGAAGAAAAACAGTCTTGAGAAAATGATGAATAGTGTAAAGAGTGTGAATGTGTGGAAGTTGACATCTGATAATGAGTCTAAGAATTTTTATTTCTCACACATTTAGACAATAACAGAGTTTCACAATTTTCTTGGGTTCACACAGAATTATTAAAATCTAATAATAGGCTTTTGCTGAAGACCTGATTACATTCAGTGTCAAAACAATGCAAATTACAGAGAGGGCAAATACTCTGCTGTGATATCCTCATGAAATAAAGTAGTGTAGGTGGGCTTATAGATACAACATAATGAAAATACATAGACAGCATGAAAAGAAGCTATTAAAAAAAAAATGATGACACTAATTCACCCAGGTATTAGATTATACTGTATGTGTGAGCTGTAATCTAACTCGCACAGAGACTGCACAGCCATTAATGTTCTGTCCTTCCTTTATCAATGCACTTTAGACAGAATCACATCTCATGAATCCATGTGCAGTTAATTTACTGGTTGGATTGATGCTCTCACAAAGATGTCATTCACTCCGTGTTGTAAAGACTATAAAGGCCTTTAAGAGGAATTATTAATATAGACCAGGAGGAATTATTTCCAACTCTTACACTGTCTCACATTTATGGAAACTTAAGAAAACTCAAAGTGCAAACTGGGTCTAAGTTTATTTGCAATGACCTCTATTTATTTCAAAATGCTTCTGGATTCAGCACGTGATACCGCCAGGAAGACAAAGCAAAGTTACAAAATGTGGCTGTCAAAAAACACACTGACAAGCCAAAAAAATCGGTGGCTGCTTCCATTCCGTTGTCGTCATTACAAAAAATCATTTTGCTCGAGGTATCAAATCTTGTGGGCTTTGCTTATGTGTTTCTGAGAAATAAGCCTGTTTATCTGTCAGCAATGACAAGATAATGAATACTGCTTTGTCCACTCCCTTATCTGCTGTGTAATGATCCATATCGTGTTTGATAACGGGTTGAGAAAAATGGTTCCGAATCACAAGATAACGATATTCCACACAAAGGTGTTGAAACTGTCAATTACAGCCGTGTGTGTGTGTGTGTGTGTCAACAAAATTAGGAATATTTTTCTATTGCTTTAAAGTGAGAAAAGGGTTGGTTTGATTTAATTTCCCTTTATGTCCTCCATCTTCTCAGCATACAGGTTTGTGAAATGATTTGGTAATCTTGTCCTGATTTTGTTGGTTAGACGTTTTTTTTTTTTGCTTTCCAGACATTTAGTTGTCAGAAATGCCCACTAGTTCTGCAAACCCCTTTACAGAAAAAATAGTTTTACCCCTTTTCTCCTTTTTAATCATACTGCTAGCCCACAGTTCTTTGAGAATTATTTTTGTCGTTTCTAATCTCTGTGCTGCATTTTGTGTCCAAACATTACCAAAAGAAAACATTCTTCATTGAGTATTCAACGCTCAGCAACGCCATGTGGTTCCTGTGTGTGTCAAGATAATTTTAATTTGGTGACATTTGCTGCTGTTGCGAGCATCTGTTGCAGTCAGAAGACAAATGTCCTTGTTTTCTTTTTTATATGAGACATGCTGTATTTTGTTCCCACAGGACTACAATGACGAGATCAGACAGGAGCAACTGAGAGAGCTCTCCCTGTTGAACGGCTCTGACGAGTCGAGCAGAGGGAGGAGTGTGCAAGGAAGGACTGTACGACCTGCAACCACAATATCCGCCAGGTAAAAAACGAATTACAGTTGTATAAAAAAGGGCTCTGTAATTTGTTCTTACAGTTGTAATATGTACTTACAGTCCACATAATGGTGAAAATGTAAAGTTCCAGGAGGATCTATTGGCAGAAATGTAATATAATATGTTTTCATTAGTGTATAATCATCTAAAAATAAGAATAGTTGTGTTTTCATTACCTTAGAAGGAATTTCTATCTACAGATGGAGGAGGTCCTCTTCCACAGAGGCTGGCATGTTAAATCGCAGTATTTCTATGTTAGCCCAGAATGGACAAACCAAACACTGGATCTAGATAGGCCTTTCACATTTCTCATGTCCACTGTGGTTTCCCCTACACACTTGGGAGGCTAATCTATATTCAAATGGCTGCAATCTGCAACTTCACTGCTAGATGCCACGAAATCCTACACACTGGTTTTTTAATGGGGTATTATCTTTAAGTTAGTATTGCACTTGCACACAAGTATGGAAACTTGCAAGAAATGGATAAAAAATCCACAGTGTTGTTTTAGGCTCCCTTTTGCAGCCTGCAAATCATTTTCTTTAGAAATACAAGAGTGACATTTGTGCTGACAGCAGTTTTTGTAAGTGGCCCGCAAAAACCACATTTTTGGCATTGTCCTTATGCAGAATCTTTATGGAAAAAAACATGTTATTTATTTAGTGGCATCTAGCGGTGAAGTTGCAGATTACAACTAACTGAACACCACTCTCGTCTGTATTTGACAACCTGGGAATGAGAAGGGCTGTGAAATGTGGAGGTGAAACTATAGCCAGTGTTTGGTTTGTCCATTCTGGGCTACTACATGGGTGAAACTCCATGGAAGGCAACTGCTAGTGTCTTTAGATAAAACACCTCGATACAAAACGGTAACAAAACAAATGATTTTCTAGTATTCAGGTGATTATACCACTAATGAGAAAACGCCGCCTATCTATTATTCCATTTCTGCCAATAGAGTCTCCTAAATTTTACACACTGGACCTGTAAAACAATGATGTCAGGCGTGTCCACTACAGTAAAAGCAGAACACAGCCCAAATTATGGTTCAACAAAGGAAACAAAGACAGGCATGAAAAAGTAAAGTAAATTACAGAATAATTTGCAAAAACAGACGTAGGCAAAGAAAGATAAGAACAATGTGTAAAACCACTGAAGTGCCCCTTTAATTCAGTTATGCAATCACCCAAAAATAGTTGTTATTCATTGCACTATGATGTGTAATTTTACACATTTATGGATTATATTTCTTTTTAAACTTGGTGTGCAGTGTTGTGAATGAAATACATATTTTAATAATAAAAAAGGAAAAACCCACCTTCATGGTGAATTTTCAGATTAATTGGGTTCAGTGGCAAACATTTCAATACTTTATATAAACATCTTCCTCAGGCTAATAGTTTTACTGCATTTCCTTTTCGGTTTTCTCCAGTTATGTGTTTCTTGATAGTTTGATTTATAGTTGTTTTCCATGTACAGTAGTGAGTTTTAGGCAGGACGAGCTACTGAAAAACATAATGTTACAGAGCATTTGATTGGCTTAGCCAGGTATGCAGCTGAAATGCCTGCCTCTTCCAGTCTCCTTTTTTAAGTTTGTTTTTAGAGCAAATTTTCCGTAATCTACCTGAGCCATGGCGGTCCCTCAGGAGTAAGCAGGTACAGTTTGCAATGACAGCCTGGCCTAATTCAGGCAGCACATGTAGATGAGCTAAATCCAGTAACGTGGGACGCCCCCAATTTAAAGTCACCACCACCACTTCCCTACCCAGATTTTCTCCTTATGGTGCACCGATAAGCGATTATTGTAAATCTCCATGAAAAATATGCACCAGTAATTCCCCTTTGAGTGTCTGTATTTTTGGATCACAATGGGCTGCTACCTAGTGAAGGATGTGCCAGAGGAAGAAAGGGTATCCTAGCCCACCTACATCATGCTGCCGTTAAAATGTGAAGTTAGCAGACAATAGACGGCTTTGCAGTGCTAAATCCAACCTTCAGTCACTGCTGTGTCCAAGCGGTTCTGCTACTGGACAGTCACACCTCCATAAAAGAAACAATCCACCTTAAATTCCTCATGCCTGCCAAAGTCTTTGGCCTTTGATGTCTCTCCACTGGACCCTGTTAAATAAGTCTTTGCTCTTTTTGAAAACTGCACCTGTCTGGCTACGGGTATGTCTACAACCAGAGTGTCTTTGGCAGCTTCAGGCAGATGGAGGTGTGATTTTGTACAAACACAGTCTGCTCCATCATGTTATTGAAATAACCAAGCTGGATCCCACAGGCATGTTTGCAGAGCTGAGAAAGACACAAAGTGACACTCTACAGTCCTCTGATCATTACAAGATCTACCTCAGTGCCAGCGGAGGTTATGTTTATCTCTCTAACACTGTACGACCACCAACTGAGACAGCCTGCACATGTGCAGCGATAAGAGGGATTTACCAAATTTCTTACTGTCTTAATTACACTTTTTCACTAAAATCACTGCAGATTATTTTTTTTTATATTATAAAGTGTGGAATAGGAATCTTAGGGAAAATCGATGCCATGTTTGTCCACCTGTTTTCTTTACCAGGGGCCACAGAGGCGCAGGAAGGAGTGCAGCAGCACCTCGGGGGACAGCGCCAGCGACACACGGCAAACTTCCCACACCTGTTTTAACAAGGGAGGTACAAGCGCCGAGAGCCAGGGGGTCAGCAGGGAGTGCTGGGTACAGGCCCCCGCTGTTAGCAGTCACACATGATTCATATGACGACTATGTAAGTCCAATCCTCTTTGCACACATTGAAAAGTATAGCTGATAATAATTTCACTCGAACTGTGTGTAAATCAGACTTGGTTTAATCTCCTCCTCATATTTCATATGGATGAGTCTTGCTTTTCATGGAGTGGTGCATTCAGGGACATGTTGAAAAATTAGGGCAAGCAGAAAATTATTTTAAAGGTATATCATATATTTTGTAATTACTTTGGATCTTCTAGGCAACCTTTAGTTTCCATTCACCTCAGCGTTATATTAAAATGATGCAGAATAAGTAATCCATCACAGTGAACATTACATCATCCTCATCTTTTATTAGTAAATAAGGGTATCATTGAGTCTAATGCAGTTTCAAGCAGGGATCATTCCAAACTTTTTAAAACCATAGATTTTCTCTTCAATCATGTCAACCCTTGGTGTCTCAGGCAAAAACAAGGTAATTGGATTTATGTTGCTATGTGGATTTGCTGATAAATATTGCACTAAAGTAAACAATAAATAACAATTAATCATGCTAATCTGTTTAGTTATGTTCAAGAAGTTTCTTCGAGAAAGAGGAGTGTTTTGCCTCACGATGTCTCTTGAGCTTATTTGTCCCCATTGCCATTTTTGCCCTACATATAGAGCATTCTGTTGTGGGACAGCTAGCTTTCCACAAAAACTGTAAGCCATGTATCTTTCTTTGTACTCCCAGATTTATGTTCTGAGATGAGATCAGTTTGAGCTCCATTTACTAAGACAAATCTCTCTATCACTTGCTCTGACAGCTATTTCTGACTGGCTGTGCACCTGGAAAACGATTTTCTTATTAAACAGCATTTTTAATATGGCGATTTGTTAAAAATTATTATAGTTATTTTTCTGTGTTTAATTTTCAGTAAAACTGTGAAGCTAATAAAGTGATGGGGATGGGCAGCACCAGGCTGCCAGCATTTGAATGGGAAAAGTTTGATTTGCGTATACCTAAAATAGCAGCTACCGAAGAATTAAATTTTTTTACATGTTGGCTTTTCAAAGGTAGGCCGTCCTTGGCGGTTTCATTGTTAATTTTTTTCTATGATATTTGAAAACAAAATGTATGTAATGTAGTTACATTCTGATGTCAGATTCCACTGACAAGTCAATTCCACTGGACAAGCGATAAGAAAAAGTGGTTTAGGATGATGTGAATTTAGTCACTCGTGCATTTGAAATGTACCTGAATCATATCTCAGTGCTTTAAATTCAGTGTCTGCTTGCAGGTATTAGATTTTCATTATGTGGCGAAACGAATGGATATCAATGTCTGCCTGAAAAGAAGCTAGTTAATTACAACATAAATTAAAACACACGCACAAAACATAAGTGGGGTCCTGTAAAGAAAACAAACAAATACACCAATCAGCCATACCACCTGAGCACCCTGGAGCCACAATGAGCCATGGTCGCCCATGATCCTGCCTTTTCCTTCCTTGAACCATTTTTGATAGGTACTGACCACTGCAGACCGGGAACACCCCACAAGAGCTGCAGTTTTGGAGGTGCTCTGACCCAGTCGTCTAGCCATCACAATTCGGCCCTTGTCAAAGTTGTTCAAATCCTCACGCTGCCCATTTTTCCTGCCTCTAACACATCAACTTTGAGGACAAAATGTT